TGATTAAAAATTGTTAGTTAAACGTCTATGTATCACGCGATGGCCTGTCTCACTGTACCAAAATTATAATATCTCGGTGAGCATTCGGAAGTCAGCCAAGCTCGGTCATTGCACGCGTGCTGAACAAGAATGCTGTATCATGACAGACTAGAAACAATAGACAACTCCCAAAGCACAAACTCAGCCAAAACGCTAAAAATCTTCAATGTTTACTCAAGTTTGAGCTTATAGAAGATAATGTCACAGTTTTTCAATGACCATGAAATTCAGAGTCCGGGTAGTTAGTTAATCAATTGTGGCCCTGAAAAAATTTGAAGGAAAAAAAACTACGAATTTTAAAAAAATGCTTTTTTCGTGAGAAGGACTGTCAAACGCTGACAAACGTCAACAAATAGCGAAAACTTTAATTTCTATATGTTTGCTTTGCTCAAAATCGCGCGCATTTACAAGGCCCTAAAGCGTTTTGCTGACTTGCAAGGACCCATCTGTTATAACGATGCCCAAAATAAAGGGATGAATCTCCTGGTTTATTAGATATAATCCGTGTAAAGTTTGCTTATCATTTTCGCATAAATTATGACCTAAATTTGGAAACCGCTGAATTTCTCGAATTGGGTCTCTGCGATTTTGGTGAAACTCTGTTCAGCGCAAGGCACTAATGCGCACTATGTGTAGCCGAGAGATTTTCACAAAAAAATGCCGGCAACAGCCGATTTTCGACTCAGACCTCAAAGGGGCGTGGCATTATAACCACGTGACATTTACTCCGATCGCCAAAAATTTTATGTTATATTGTAGATTGATCTATATGTTATCCATTCTATGTGTTAGACTTACGATAAAAGTAAAGGTGGGGATACCAGAGAGCTTCAAAGTAGGATGGTACCCCCCCAAAAAAACTGGGTCCAGTCACCTTAAATTTCGCCCATATTTGTTCCAAATTAGTTTCCTTGACCGATGTAGCAACTATTGTGAGGAACGAAAAATAAAGATTTTTTTAGATAGCAAGTTTTTGGATATTTGACAATTTTTTAGCAACTTTTAGGTTTTTGATTGTGCACGTTTCCAACCTTTTATCAACGTTACCAGCACAATCGGGACAAACCTACGACGGGAAGTTAATTCACTTAAGTTAAGGTGAAGAGTGAAGGGGCGTTGTAAGCGAATAGGCTCAGTGGTGTCCTTTTCGATAGAAATCTGTCATTCCGTTTGCAGGAATACCCACTCTGTCATCTCTAACGTCGCAGTTTCAAGGAGGAATAAGACCGCTTCATGAGAGACTTGTTAGAGAACTACCTCCCAGTGAAACAGGAACTGCTGGAATTCTTAAGTGTAACTTCGAAACAAGAGAACTTCACTTTACCGCACGATGGCCTAGGCTACGTCCGTTTAGGAGATGAACATTGCTGTTAAATTTAGTGAGGATGTTAGGGCTAGGGATGACCATGATAATGGATGATGATGATGATGATATCGATAGTGACGATGACGATGGCGATATTTTCGATAATTGATTTTACTGAAGTTCCTGTCGACTGAGTTGTGTAACATGGCGAGCCACCAGTTGTGGGTCTTTTCTCAGTTATGATGTGATTTTGTCTCCATAGAAAAGAAATATATTCCTTATCTAATACCGTAAAATTCCGAAAATAAGCCCTGGGGCTTATATTTTTCAAAGGCCCTTTTTGAGGGGCTTATTTTTGGAGGGGCTTCAATATATTCGGAGGGAAATTTGCGTTTCAAAATCGGCTAGGCTTACACTTGGAGGGAAATTTGTCTCAAAATCGATTGGGCTATAGCTTCTAGTTGGAGGGAAATTTATGCCAGTAATAGAGCTATTCGGCTAACTCAATGTTGTACCCAATTCAAATCTCCCAGGGTTAAGATTCTTTGTCTATTGTACTTGCATTATAATGTGACATTCTCATTTAAATGTATGGAAATTCCTGAAACAAAAATTTTTATTCCTAAAGGGTTTGAATTGGGTACAACATTGAGTTAGCCGAATAGGTCTATTTGCAGAAAGGTTTTACTGAAACTCGCCTTGAGGACGTAGACCTTATAAAACGCAGCCATGCAAGTATTTTGTCAATAGAAACCGGGCACAGGGCTGGTACCTACTTCTGACATGAGAACTCGACTTGGACGCTTGCTGTTTGGATGTTTGTTAGCAGCTCCCAGGCCCCGCCGAGTAACACCTGATCAGAAGCGAAGTGAAATGCATGGCGGCCTAGATCTTATAATTTTGTGAGTGCTAATGAAGAAAGTCTTAATTCGTTTTGAATCCAGCTCTAAAAGTAAAAATAATTGAGATAAACCTGTTATAGAGTTTCATAGCGCTCACAGTCTTAAATCTGGGCCGTGAGCTCGTTCTTTGACATGCGTTGTGTTGATGTTTGGGTTTGAAGTAGAAAATCGGTCGCGAGCGCGAAGGAAAATTCTTTTATCATGATACTGTAACGGTACGTTACTCATTAGCTTGTCATGCAGGTGTAAAGTTAAGCATCCCTGGAAGTAATAATTAGGTAGTGAACGTTTTAGCGAAGAATCGAGGGGAGGACAATGTTCTTTCATGAATCAGCCGTGGTTCGCTGTGGTTCACGAACACAATCGATGACATCTTGTCACGAGGAGACAAAAAAGTGCCCGTTCCGACAATTAACAGCAGAAATCGTTTTCAGAAGAAAACCTTCTCAATGTAGTTCACTGCTTTTTCTAATCGGTTTTACATGTCTCAAAACGTCAATGAAGATATGAGGCGAACAAAATGAATTATAATTTGCCCGAGGAGGGGAATGAAACAGCGAGTCGAACAGTTGTACAGTGTTTTTATTAGAAACATCCTAATTTTAAATGCTCGTTGATAATTGATTAAAATCTTCGGGCATTCATAATGATTGTTTGCATTATGTGTTGTGTTTGTGTTTATTTTACACTACAGTCAACTCCCTTTAAAGCGGACACTATAGGGACCTCAATTTGATGTCCTCATTTGCGAGAGTCCCTAATAGCGGGAATTTATTTCGGTCAAACGTCTGTAATTTATTTTTGCCCGGGATTTAGCTGCTGTCCGTATTATCGAGGTGTCCGTTATAGCGGGGTGTCCGCAAGGCGAGAGTTGACTGTATTATATTTTGCCTTTTAAAAACTCATGCATCAGGATAAATCAAGCTTTGGGCAGCACTTTACTTCCAATATGGAACCTCTAGTCTAGTTTTCTAATGACGTTACAGACATTCAGTTTTTGCGCGATACTCCTTCGCACGCAACATGCTTGCTCTGGGTGGATGGCAAATGCAATTTACGTCTGAGCTAGCCAATCATCCAATCAGAATACGAGGTATATACTGTGCATTATATATGTACCAATGCATGCATACAGCGTGCAATTAGAAATATGCGTATAAATCTGACTTGGTAAAACAGTCAATCTTGTGGTTTGAGTCAAGGAATTAAAACTGTTTCTCGCGCTAAGACAATAATAAAAATAATAAGATTTCGCCTTTCAAATAAAGTCTGGCAAAATCTATGGTGAATTTTTCGCCCCTGTAGTAATTTAGCCTTGTAGTTATGCCTGAGTTGAATCCAATAATAGCTATAGCTCTTCTTCTTGGTCTTCCAAGGTCGTGACCACGATAAGAAAGGGAGAAACCGACTGATGAGAAATTCTGCTACCACACTTTTGACAATCGGTAGCCTTCGATTTTGAAGTCAAATCAGATTTTTGACTAAAATCTGTACTGTGTATTTGCTGTACTAAGGATTTTCAGAGATAACGATTTCGTGCAAGATTGCATTTTGCCTTCTTTTTTGTCATAAAATATTGATTCTTATACAAAAAATTCTTTTGTTGGAAAAGTTAATTTTCTTTTGGGCTTTTAATATCTTTACTTTTGAGCCATCATTACGAGAAAGATCAGCATATAAATTTAAGATATATTGCTGGAGGCCAAATCGAGTCTGTATTCAAGTAGGAAAAATGAATTTATGGATCCGATCGTTTTGTTCCTTACGACAAGAAAAGTCAAAATAGTTTCGGGCTTTTTCCGGACCGTTGGCCAGTAGAAAGATGTATCTAGAACACAGTCTTCATAACTGGCAGCTCTTGTAATACGATTGAAAATTCCGGCACCGAACTTAAAAAATGTTCACAGTTCAAGAGCATGGAGTGGGTGCGTAAACAAATTGGCAGAGAGACGGTGTTTCTCCCTAATTTGAATTCTTATCATTGCAAGAGACTACCCTCAGTTATAATTGCTGTATTTAGCTCTTCAAGATCAAACTAAAAATAGCAAAATTTTACCCTTCCTGTAATTGTATATGGCAGTCTAATTTCCTGCGGAAAATAAGAAATCCGGCACTGTGAAGGAGTGTATGGTTGGCTTGACAATATCGGCTGGGCGATGACGATTCTCCCTAATTTAAATTTCTTGTCATTGTCATACGAGAAAAAGTATCCTTGATGCACTATTTTAACTGTTCAAGGTCAAGCCAAAAATAGCACAATCATGAAATGGGAAAAACCTTTACGGCAATTTTTCTCGATCATCTAAATTTGGCATCGTGCGTGGGTGACTTTAAGAATCCATTGCGCAATTTCACCTTCCTGCAAGCCAAACGAATTACGTTTCTCTGGCAGTAGTGTCACTAAACAAATTGAATAGATGCTACTTTGCATCGAACATTAACATGGATACTGCCCACAAAAAAATCGATTGACACTTGCGACATTCAACAACCAATCACGAGCAGCGATTTCACGTGAAGAACCAGTCAGAATGGAAAACCCGTCCAGTGCACGTAACAGGTGGCGTTTGAAGGGTTTACCTCGCACACTTGTAATTATCGGCTTTCATCAGGAACGACCTCACAACGTGAGCGTAACGCCTCTCTATAAACGGATAAAATAAGCCGAATATTAACACAAAAAAGCATAAATTTGCAGTTGGATAAAAGTTATGAGTTGTTTACAGCCTACAAGAGTTGTGCAAGACACCGCTATGAGTGAGGAGATGAGACGCATTTCTGAAGAGGCTCGAAACCTCGCGCACGACCTTGTATCGTATCGCATTGGAAAAATGAATCCTCCGCCGACACGCACGGCTGAGATTTTACGAAGACTTTCTGACGAGCTCGAGGATCGCCATTCGATGGTGCTTTCGAATATGTGCAACAGACTTAACGTTGTTAACGGCTCAGCGCAAGTGAAATTTGTGCAAGTTGCAGACGAGGTATTCCGCGACGGAATTAACTGGGGTAGGATCGTGGCAATCTTTGCGTTTGGAGCAAAAATGGCGCAGTACTGTGTGACTACTGGCTTACAACAAGAGGTGGAGGAGATCATTGTTTGGGTCGGAAATTATATTTCAGGTCTTTCAAACTGGATTCATTCAAACGGAGGATGGGTAAGCTGCCAAAATATAGGATCTCCGACTGATAACTTCATAACTTTAACAAAGTATTAAATATTAAAAGTGTCTTACCAATTTAAGCTATATTTGCAAAGACTTCACCATCCCAGTTTGCAAAAAAATCATAACAGATTATTTGCCTAAATTGGTTATTTTATACCTTCGTGAATGGAAACACAGTATTTTGCTGAATTCGCAACCGTTGGCAAATAATGCTGCTCTTCAAACCACATCAAATTTTGCACCTCGCACGTTAAAGTTTTCAAAATATTGATCTACCAAAATTGAAAAATCAACCGTTGCAATCTCTTATTAACTCCATGCCTTACATTACAATCACAAAATTAAAATTAAAATAAGAACATCTTTCCCGCTTTTTCAAGACTCGATATCGGCAATCTGTCCTTTAATACCAATAAAATCAAGAAATATTTTCTCGATCCGCTTATAACTTCCTGTTTATATTAGGCCTACAATATGTGTCTATTATATTGAATTTACAGGGAAAATCCTGCTAGTATACGATTTCAAATGCAAATTCACTTAAGAGACCGAGCCGTAGTAAGTGTTTTTGCACGTGTATCTGTATTTTCTTTTTGTCCAGTAATATCTTTCACTTAATGCCGAAAAGAAATTTTCAGAAAGACAGGCTGATAGTTCAGTTATTGGAAGATCAATGATTTAAGGCAAGAAACACGCTGGCTGCTATAGAGTTCCTCATGTTTTGTTATAATTATTCATGGTTTAAAAAGCTACTTTGAATATTTTTCCTTGCAAACGGACTTAGTGTTTCCAATATTTAAACAGTTGCAATTAGTAATTGTTTTTCTAAAACCTTTTTTCAAGTCTTTTACTGAGTTGAAACTTCTACAGGTCGTAAACTGACGTCGCAAAGCGAAGTATCAAGTTTTGCCTCGTGCAGCCAGAGTTTAGAGGCTAAAAGAGAACATGCAAGCAGGTCAAAAGTTAGAATCTATCAGTGATGTTGTAAGCGGGTTTTGGAATGGGCTTATGGTCAGTTGCACAAATTTCTTCAACAACTGTACATGCTTATAGTATCAAAATGTCTTACATCAAAAGATTTCACTTAGACCTGCGATACCCAAGCAAATTAAAAATATTGAATACATTGCCAATGTATTTAGGACTTTGATCCTTCTCCTTTTGTGCACTTACTACCGAAAGAGCCGATTTTTTCCTCCGTGAAAGTAATGTTTTAGTTTGTTCAGAATTATCGAAACTATACGAGAGTCTATCAATTGCTAGTTTTCATTAAAAATTTTTCCACCGTTTATTGTTCTACAGAGGTAGGAAATTGTACATTGTTTTGGTAGTTGTACAGATGCCAAGTTTTCACTGAATGGCTATTGGCCTAACTCTTTAACCCCAAAGAGTGATCAGTATCAATATTCTTCCCGTGAAATCAATGCTTTATAAAACAGAACGGTGACGAGAATTAAGGACATGATCACAAAAGATGAATTTGGTTGACACTTAACAACTTCTCCCTACTACTTTCATAGGAAAAGTATAGGGACAACAAATGAGAATTGGAATTTTGATATTACGGACTAAAGAGTTAAGAAAGGCTTAAAGCATGAAAAACGAGTTGAGCACAACAGTGTTTCCGTGTTTGACATTTGAGAAGTTTTGCCCAATATTCATTAATTCATGTACACTACCCTGTTCTTAGCCGTCATTGATAGTCATTTAAACATCTTTCGATGAAGCTAATAATCACGAAACCGATGTTTTAAGAAAAATCCAGGGGAGTTTCCTGTTTCACTTTCAGTTGCCAATTATTACTTTGATCTGCAATTTCTTGTCTGCAGTGGTAGCTACATATGAAACCAGCTTTCTAAGTGTCTTGACACGGAGTGATGCTTTTTGAAATCTCTCCATGAATTTTTTTAAGCTATTACAAAAGCTGGGACCTTCCTACATCCAAAGACTGATTCAACATATCTTTAACTCCCCAGTACTAAAGAGAGACTGGCGTTTATCTGGTATTTTCATTGCATGTCTTTTGCGTTGGATCAGTTATTCTGTGTCTGCTGTCGAATCAGTAACATGACTCGGTTGCTAAGTTACAATAGACCCTCTTTGGGCAAGACCCAACGTTGAAGTTATACAAGTATATTTTTACCGTTCTCCGACAATTTTGGCCTTTAGCAAAACACCTTAAAAGAAAGGATAGAACAATGTCATCGACGAATTCAGCCATAGTTTGATGGCATATTGATTTTTGTTCCTGTATTTATTCATGAGATGTCTGCTCGCTGAAGTACGTGCATTCTTTATGCCAAAAATTGCATCCAGGATAACGCTCAATGGATCGACGTTTTTTTGAAAATAAAAGCTACCCAGTGACTTGCAAACATCAGGTTCCAATGTTTCATTTTATGACAAATGAAACCAAAATTCAGAATTGCGTCATGGGTCTAGATCTGTTTAAGAAATTTGCTTTCTGTTAGATACAAACTAGCTGAACTCTGACATAATCACAAATTAGAATAAATATTGAAAAAATTATCTTCAAATGTCTGATTTGGGTCGTCAAGGGACTGAGAAGTCGCTTTCTATATGTTGCTGTGGAGTGCAGTTCAAGCCTTTTCAAGTTCTAATCTATTAATAAATTTTTTGCTATTGTGGGAAGGGGTAGTCACTACAATAATGGACTTTTTATGTAGGCGTTTTAGTTGATGTCAGTGATATCACTGGGAAGATAGACGAACGTGGACAGAATAGCAAGACAGTTAAACAATTGAAACACCGGCGATATGGTCATTCCAGCTTTATTACGTGCTTGACATATATTCAGTTGGTAAATAAGGCGGGGTTATCTGTGATAACTCGTTGAGGAGCACATAATCTTACAAGGTAAAGAATTCAATGCAGTTATTTACGACGAGCATTATACAGTACTGCACAAAGGATTTGCCAAACGTTGCGTAATAAAATTATCGTTGTGAGATAAAAATGAATTTCAGACGAATGTGTGGAAACGAAAACGGGCAAAAATTAAAGGAAAAGAGAATTTCTTTTTCAGTGTGAAAAGTTTCGAGGAAATTCTACTTCTAGCTCCTGCTTGTTATTTCAAACGATATTAACCCTTTTGAGCTTTTAGAAAAAACGTCTTTTATTGTGATCATAAGTTCAGTGCTGAGCAGTTCTTTTCTGTGATTGTTCTGTTCATTGCGCTTTAAAAAGTATAGTTATAATTAAAAAATCGCCAAGTCTGCGGATGAAATTTTGTAGGATGACTATTCTTGCGAAAGTTGCTGAGCAAAGCATTCCTGACAAATGAGTTGTAAATTTAACGATTGAAGTCCTGTCCATGAAAAATACTGAGCAGTGCCTTATGGTGATACTTATCCTTTCGTGTTCCGTCCTTAAAAGTAACTTTTGTATGAAAAATTGAATCAAATTTGTATTTTCTTCTTTAAAAAAGAGTGAGATGTGAAAAAAAAAACAGTGAACTAAGATTGAGTACGTGCAGTGAATATTAAAATATAGCCTTAATATTTTCTTGCTATTTATAACCTCAAATGACTCAATATAACGAGGATATGATCACGTTATATCGAGAAACGCGAGAGCAGTGAGAAATTCCCGCAATTTAATAGTTTGTTTACCAAAGTTCTGTTTCAAGTGTAACTTAAGAAAATTGTCTAACCAAGAAAGTAGTGAAGGATATAATGAGAAAAAATACAGGAAACACTAATGTAAAGACCCACAGTTAATTTAAAGTTAAACAAACAATACATTGATTAAGTGAAAGTAACGTTTTTTTAATGAGCATGTGTGCAACGTTTCGCACGTTCTTTCAGTTAAAATTCGTAAGGGAGTAAATTTTTCGAAAGTGCAAAACCCATGATCTGTGTTAATGTTAATTTTTGGACCATGATACAGAGTTTCATTAACACAGTTTAAGTCAAAACAAGAGTGGAGATTTACATTTACTGACAGATTACTATTGATTTTTACATCTCTCAGTTTAATAGTACTCGCACTGAGATTGGTTAGTAAATTTAAAAGCAGTTTATTTTGGTTGCGACCTGTGACAAAGCTATTCGTTTCAAGTAAAGTTTTGAAGTAGAATGAGTGTGTTATGTGTTAAACGAATGTTTTTTCACAACTGAAAGTCACGATGTTTGAGGTTTAGGATTTGACGCGCGTCGATCATCAAAGTTACGTTTCGATTTGCTGCAGAGACAAGATTTGTCTCAAGAGCAGCGTTTACCCAGCAACAAGAAGTATTTTTCTTCTGCACTTGACCAAATATTTCTTCTCTCCTTTATTAGCCGGTGTTCTTAAGAATGAAAGAGCAAAGAATCCTATGAAAATTCTTCGATAACAACCTGAGGAAACCAAAAAGCATTGTAATTTGTCAACAATTGTTTTCCCCGCCAGTCTGCAGCGAGGTACGCCAAGATTTTCCCGTTACGCAAACTTAGAGTAACGCAGGCGTACTATACGTTGCATTCGCGTGAAGGTCATTTATTTGCTAAAAATGAACGCAAGAGGGTATAAAGGGACAATTCCCTTATACTCTCTTGCCTATGAGCATGCTTATCGTGTGAGGTCACGGGCAAACGTCACGCGAAAACTGATTCACCTCACGAGGATATTGCGCATAACCACGAGCCGATTACTAAAAAACCTTACTTTCTTTTTTTAAGGAGTTCTAATATATTCATTAGTGTTAAATAAGTACTGGTGCGTTCTAAACCTATGATACTGACTCGTGCGCTTCTTCATCCACTCAGAATTGGCAATAATTAAAGAAGGAAAATAATTATTATTAAGTTTGTGCGAGAAATCATTCAAGTGACAACTTTTCAGCAGTAGCTTCACATGGTGCAATTTATTTGGTTCATAAACTTATATTTGGTTTATAAACTTATCAGTCAGTGCATAAAGTCCTAAGGAGCAAACATTCAATTGAAACCACTTTGGCAGTAATTTCGCATAACATGTTTTTACGGCTTAGTCAATCCCAAGCGTACCCATCCCCCCTCCCCTCCCCTCCCCGGGCATTTGTCATTTTCTTTTGGAAAAGCTGCAGATGCCCCCACGGGGGGGCCGGGCGCGGCTCATACAAAAACCCCACGGTGGGGCTTTAAAAAGTGTGCAAATGCCCCACCTCCGGGTAACAACAAAATAGCATTTTCCAAAAAATAAGCCGCAACTGGCATATTTCTAGGAAAATCTGCAATAATCTTATGAAAACGCGCGAAACCACCCTTCTCAAATCGCTCCTGGCCGCTAGTTATAAGCTTAATTATTTTTATTGCAAAAAAGATCACATCGATCTGGTTAATATCAATGACAGAACTATAAAACAACCGACGAGCTTAACATGAGTATTTTCTCATCACACAATAGAACCGTTTCGTCAAAGTGTTAATCGTTGCATTAACCACACAAAACACAAAGCTTACACTAGCTTTAAAATATCTCGCAAAGTTGATCTAGGCCCTTCTGCCTCAACCATTTGCTCACAAAGAAAGTGTTCTTTTAAACTCTTAAAAAGCGATGCATTGATTGTTTTTCGTCTATGTGCGAACTGATCACGATGGCGGGAAGAAATTTCTTAGACGCGGGATGCAAAAAATACTGTGGGGTAGTGATGAAGCGAAAACCACACGATGCTTCTACAAGAATTGAAAAAGGGACGATTTGTATTACTATCAAATAGCAAATCTTTTTTGACAAAAATAACCACGGGACCGACAAGATGAAATATTGGAAAAGGGGGACGATGTTAGCCATCAGCATTTCACAAAATCTAATCTGTTTTTTGCTTGTTCGTTTTTTGTTGTCGTTAGGTATTTTTGTGAGTTTATAAGGATTACAAATTCGGCAAGCGAAAGTTAGATTTTCATTCTTGCCGTTCAAGTTTAATACGCCATAATATTGGATAATCTAACTATTAAGGTTTTTTCAATACTGTCGATCAAACTTGAGTTTTATATTATCAGGACAAATGATGGTGATATATCAGTCTGTGGTAAAAGAAGGTAAAGGTGCTGCAGTGTCACGCTTGTCTACCAGTATTTTGTTAATAATACCAATTACACGTCCTTATTCGCTTTGGAACTTGAGAAATTACTTGAAAATGAGAAAATTACATTACAGCTTCTTGTCAAACAAATACGACGGTCTCCAGAGCATTACATCAAACTTTACAAACAGCAAAGTAAACTTTGAAAAACTGTAAGGCTAACAACTTTTCGAAAACCCACAATTGCAGTCAGTGTTTCAATCTACTTCAAGTTTATCCATCCGCTTCTCCATTTGTGTTTTCTTCTCTCGTTTCACTCAGTTTGGTGACAGTTCCCACCGTTTCATGAATTTTGATAAATTATGCCTTTTTTTACTCAGCTGGGTCCAGTTGTTCGAAGGCCGATTAGCCCTTCACCCAGGGTTAAATTTAACCCAGCTTTCTTTTTCTTTGCTCAAAAGCATTTTCTCGGATAATTTTCTCTGTTATTGTTAAGAGTATCCAATCATAAACCTGTTGACAGAAAGGATAAATTTGAATTTACTTTTTAAGCCTTCAAATCTTAATTCAAATTTCGCACTAATCCTGGGTTATCTTAACCCACCTTTGAACAAAACGGCCCTGGTGTTTAACACGAAAGTGTAAGTTTATAGTTTCGTTTTGGAAGTGAGTTTGTGTTAGCCTATTTGCTATTCATAAAATATAACCGTAGAAATGTTAATCCAAAGATAATGAAAATCACTAGGGATGCCTTCAAGATCTTAAAACAGATCTGACACTGCAGAAGCTCTTAAAATTCCCAGTTTCTTTTTTTGAAAAATGATTTCGATAATAATATCACAAAATTGAGAAAAATTAGAACTTTAAGATAGAGTATGCTGTATGTTAGAAATAATCGTGCCCTTGCCCTTTGTGGGTTGCAGAACGAGTTGCCACTTTTTTCATTTTCACGCTGATGAATAATTTAGTTGTTGCACCTTGTCAAAGCTGCTTTGCATAACCACAACATTACCCGCTTTACGATTACATCTGCCATGCAACGCTGATAAAACACACCATTTAGATAAGCTTGGATTATTTGTTTTTAAGGTCTTCTCACTGAGCATCAGCAATTTCCATCTGGACTAAATGTAGACAGTTTTTCAAATAGTTGATATGCTTTACCCTCGAAAGAAGCATGTATGTTATGATATAATTACACGGGACACCTTCAAAATCTTACAGTCGGCAGCACGCAAAGAAAGTCGCGTCCGATAGCACGGGGCTAGTGGATTTTGCTATCGGGCTAGTGATTTTTGCTCTTAACTTGCCCGATGGGCAAGTGCTGTTTTTTGGGAAATCCAAATTACAGAAGCATTGTAATCAATCATTCTAATCAAAAAGGGTTTTGTGGATAGTTGAAATGACTTGTGGGCTAGTACATGCTGGCTACAGTTTGCCCGAATGGCAGGTTGTAAAACTGACTTTCTTTGCACCCTGCAGTAAATCCGATCTTTGTCTTTCAGTATCAATACCATAATCTCCTTAGCTGATCTTAGTATGATACTGATGTCAGTACTTGTTTCGGGTTCTGATTTTTGATATGATTATGGGGGTCTCTTTTGGTTACCCTCCTGTCTAAGGTTTCTTGCAGCTTGTACTTATTTTTTGACCAGTTTATAATTATGTAATTCTATCGTTTGCTTTTTTAATTTTCCTTTTTACCTTTGGCCTTCAACAATTTTTGACATTTGTTTTATTTATTTATATATATTTTTTGGACAAAAAGCTGTTGACAATGGTGAGAAAAATTGTACTGAAAATATGAGTCATTGTCCTTGTTTTGCTCAACAGGAAGCTTTTAACCAAACCTTTGGTGAAGAATTCGAAGAGAGAGAAAAATTATGGTGGAAAAAGGTTTGCCTTGTGGCAGTAGGTTTCGGGGCAATTGCCACACTCATCTACCAATCTACAAATTGACGACAGAAGACGACTTGCTTACTATATAAGAGCTGGATATCGTTGGACTTGCGATTCAAGAAAAGTTTTGTTCCTTCGAGATTCATTGAGATCAAAGAGTGAGCTTTAATTGGACAACTTCATTTTTTCGGGCAAGCTGAAATTATCGGCCTGGGAACAAGATTTACAGAAGACGTCTTGCTATCGAACTTTACTTCTAAGATGCGCGCTTTGGTGCTTATACTTCAGCCAATTTTCTATTTTAGGATAAAGCTTACTCACATTTGCTGTAGTGTATGAACAGCGAAGTAAAGCGGAAAAAAAGATCTTCAAGAAAAAATCTGTCAAGAGAAAATAGCTTGCTGAGCGCGAGTAGATTCCTCTGTTAGTTTCCTATCGCTATCATTGGTTACTTAAGGAAGTGGAATACGTCTAGCTTACAAAATCTGGTCATCGAGTATTGATGGCAGTTTTGGCATTATTTTAGTTACTAACTGCAAAACCAACTACATCTCTTATAACTTTTCCCGCGTTTTTGTTGATTTCAAACGGAGCTAAAAGCCAATGACAACTGTTTGGTTTGACCTTAAGGACATTCAAGTGAAAATACCCTCCAAAATTTGTAATTTTAAAGTAAAAGTAAGTAAGCCGAATTTTTTATCTGCTAAATAAATAGAATATTATAGAAACTATTTTATACTATATCATCTGACACTGAAATATGCACGAAGTCTGGTACTTCTGCATGAAATAGTTCTTCAAACATTTCGCTTCTAATTTATGTAGCCAAAAGTACGAAATAAGACACAATACGGTTATGTCCCAGCCGTTTGCTTTGTACAAAATAAGCTGGAAATAGCAAAAGATTATCTCTCATGTTCAACACAACAATCGTTAGGGAAAAAGAATAAAAAGGCGGGTACTTATCATATATTTAAATTTTAAAATATAGAAAGGAGTAGTTATAGACCAGGCAGAATTTATTGGTCATATATTTATTCGAATTATATTCAAGACTTCCTGAAATTTTGTATTAATCTAATGAAAGAACAATTCTGAAATAGGCAAAGAAATAATTAAGCATTTTTTTATCCTGAAATTATTCCCTTGGAGGTAAGAGCTCAATGTTTCAGATAATTAACTTTTATTTTCAGATAATTTAACTTTTTGAGGAATTAGTAAAACTCAACTAGTGGTCTATCTCAACGCTGCGTTCTGATTGGTGGAGCTACTACTAGGCTATATGTTATACCCCACTAGTAGCGAAAAGCGCCGGGCTTGAAAACCAAAACAATAGCGGCTGAATCGCGTTTTGCTTGCTAAAAAGTAATTTGTCTCGATATTTTTGACCAACTAGTGGGATTTTACTAAAACAATTATTCCTCGAGCCCGAATGGGCTCTGAGTCAATAGCCCATGAGGCCGAGGGCCGAATGGGCCATTGACTCAGAGTTCATGAGGGCTCGAGGTAATATCGTTAATTATGCAACTCGAGGAGGCTGGTATCCACCCCGATCTCCCTAATCCTTCATATACCGTAAAAGCCAGCGACTAAGAAACTGGCTTTTCCCAAGTTAGCCTAAACAGGTTCTTACATAAATGGTAATTAGCACAAACTTAGGCTATTTAGTTTCATGGCAATGAGTATTTAGTGATTAACGTTATTCCTTATCTACAATCTGCATACCAAATTAGTATTTATGTAAAAATGACTATGAGAAGAAGGACTGAAGCACTGACCACATGAATTTTGACGTCCTTTTGCCTAAGTGTAAAGAATTTTTTTTGTAGATTTCAAAAAATAACAACCTGTTTAAAATTTTGGGCTAAACAGGTTTGTAGAGGGGGCCTAACTGAAATATTTTAGCCTAACAGGTTCTTAGAAACCAGGTTCTTAGTCGCGGGTATTTACTGTAATACGAAAGCCGAATTCAATCCTGCACTCATGCAAAACAAACTATGATGTCGCACCAGTGCCTTACATGACGTGAGTGACTGTATATTACATCTTTAGCCCACATTTGGTAATAGCCAGCTAGCAACCTTGGACAAAATAAATGGAAAATTCAGGCCCCCCGACCCCCAATCAAAGATGGGAAAATGGCGCGTTTGCACTTCGCGTGGATTCATACTTTATTTGGGAGGATGGCGATTCGCTGTTCCATTTTATTCTGTCCAAGATTGTAGTTATCAAGAATTAGCCGGGGGTATTACAGCTAATCAGAAAACGGCGAAGTATTTTTAATGAATATTAAGGTTAATTATCTGTATCGATTCGTCGTAATTGCTAGTTATAAAGATGACATATTTTGAGTAAACAACTAAAATGCTACAATTTGAAGCCGCTTTTGTATCAGTATCTTATATGTAGTTTGACTTTCAGGTGACGCTTAATAAAGACTATACAATCCTTTTTTATAAAACGTACTTGTTACTCCTTGTTTAAGTCCGCCTAGAAATGTATTTTAACATTAATTTATATAAATATATTAAACTTGTATCATTAAGCTTCATTCATATAGAGGAAGGCTTCAGTGGCGTCAAGCACATTACCGCAAAAAAAAGCAAAACATTTAAATTTCAAGGGAATTGTCAATCTTGGACGAAATCCCTTCAAATAATACTGATCATCCTCAGGTGACTGGACACAGTTTGATATATATAGGTTGTGGATCATTGCAATTTATTGAGGTGTCAAGTTCAAATTTGGCACAAACAATCTATATTTATAAGATATTACATTCGTTAGGTTAAAGGCGAGATTTGGGTCGTTACCATAGTAACCATAGTAACATGGACGATTGAAAACAAGCCCAAAATTTTGAGTTTACTAGGTTTTCGAAAAATCCAGTCATTATACCGTAAAATTCCAAAAATAAGCCCCTCAATGTATAAGCCCCTCCAAATATAAGCCCCCCAAAATCGTACCGCAAAAAACCCTCCGTTAAATCGCCCCTCCGAATATACGCCCCCCGGAGGGCTTGTACTTGGAATTTGCCCTTGAATACAAAGTAAAACAAAGTAAAATGGTAAATTTCCTTTCTACTACAAGCTAGCCCAATCGATTTTGAAACGCAAATTTCCCTCCGTACATAAGCCCCTCCGAATATAGGCCCCTCCAAAAAAAAGCCCCTCAAAAAGGGCCTTTGAAAAGTATAAGCCCCGGGGCTTATTTTCGGAATTTTACGGTATTTTCTTATGTTTTAGACGAAACCACTTAACCAAACTGTAAATTTTACATTAATAAAATTTTTAAGAAAATAGCTTTCATGGAAATGTTGATTGTATCATTAAACTCCTTTGTTCAATTATTTTGAGTTATTAGTTCTTTATGCGGAATTTTAGTCCTTCAACACTGTTGTCATTATCTTCTTTTGTTGGTCTGCTCCGAGCCTTTCTGCAATGTGTTGGTTGAAAAAAGAGAAGCCGTTTTATACATTTTAATGTAACAGTGAAGTAATGACTTTAGCAACTTTCAGTCTTCTTCTGACCTTAAAACTTCTGATACCCTGAGCAAGTGTTCATGGAGCTTTCTGGTTGTTGTATTTTCCTACTCCAACTCACGCGTTTAACAAGGTTTTTCATGAGTTTCTTTGGCATAGACCAAGCCAAGTCGGTGGAGACAAAGTTTAACCTATAAGCTGCGGCTTATCTACATGTAACTCCAAATTTGATAGGAAGTGATTCATTTTAGGTTGATAATAGACTTTTCACGGTTTTTCTCAACTTTTTATGTGGACAAGTTAAAGAAAATCCGTCGACACTGCTGAAAAGAGCGCCTTTAAATTAGTAAAATTGCCAACTTTGAAAAAGATACGTCTTTAGCGAGCAAAGATGTAGCTCTGTAAAGTTGCGAAAATCTACAGACGTTTGTATGGGGTGGGGGGGGGGGCGGGGGGCAAGTTTGTACCGCCCACCGTCAAACGTCTGTTAAAATTTCGCGACTTTGAGGAGCTGTTAATATCTTCATTAGTTTTCAACAAATCACTGTCAAACTTGGCACTTTTACTAATTTTAAGGCGCTCTTTTCAGTGGTGTCCACGGATTTTACCCAACTTGTCCATGTCAAAAGTTGAAAAAAACCGTGAAAAGGTCTATTGGTTTACTCACGCTAGTCTGCGTTGGGTTATATGCTTTCTCGACTATGATCATAATAAGCCATGTTTAGATGCTTGTTGGCGAAATTCAAAATTAATCAAAGCCCCGTCCTTGGAACA